CGGTCGGGTCAGATCCGGGTGCCATCCTGGCCGTCTTGAACCGCCTCATGGCCTCCTGGCGGTCGGCCGGCGTGTCGAACTCCGCTTCAAGGACTTCTTTCGCGGCGGCCCAGTCCATCTTTTGAGGGCCTCTTCTGGCCGCATCCAGGGCCGCTTTAGCCCGGCCCATGAGGAGGGTCTTCAGCGCTGCCAACTTACCCTGGTTGGTCTCCAGCCCAGCAGCCTTCGCAACCTTTTCAAAGTCCTCCAGGAAAGTCAGAACATCCCCATCCAAAAAGGGTTGCGGCCACGGGATCTTCATCCCTATCCTGGTCACGGCAACAAATTAAAGGAAGAAGTCCTTCGCTGGGGAGTTATTTATTAAGAAATGCCAACTGACTGGTTACAGACCATTGAACAGGGAAGCAAAACTCTAATATGCATCTTATTTACGAAAACCGGACACCCATCTTCTTCCGAACGCATCTTCTTGAACTTTCCTGGAAATTAATCGACTCCACTCATTCGTCGGTCAAATCCGAGCAAATGTTACAAAGTGGCTCCACGAATTCCGCAACAGATCTCCCCTTTCCAAAAGACGCAAAGCAAAATTCTACGAACAACGCATACTGCTCGCGTGCCTCCCCATCAGTAGTATCACGGTTAACTGATAGCATCTAGAATGATTGAATCCGCAGTTCCGTCATCCTTATCATAACTGGTACCGATCCCGTGCCCAACTACGGCGGCTGTCTCAACAACCAGTGGCCCTTTCTAAGAATTCGATCAGCTCCGGTGCTCACGTTTATAAACCAACACATTGTGAAATTATTCATACGGTTATATATGAAAAAGCGTTCACATCCCGGACACACATAACACTTCGAAGGCTGCACTCCAATTCAGGCCATTTCGAAGAGTTATTTCATGCCTGCCATATAGGTCAGCGCCTCATAACCCATCGTTTATGCCGAAATATTGCAACTCATCTTTACTTCCACCATAAAAACACACGAGCTATTAAGACAACCAACCAAGACGCGATCTAACTGTCTCTGATAATGATGACGTTCTAGCCTGGAACTGCGAGGTTTACTGCGTCTCATCACCCAGAGCAAATCTCTTTCAACCAACATCCAAGTACTATACATCGTCAGAAAGTGGTCGATGGATTCTGACTCCCCATAACTTTCTCCTTAATGGGCCTTACCTGCACAACCGAATCCGCCCTATTTCATCGGCCTTTTCTGTCGCTACCCAGCTGCGAACACCTAAGTTTCTTTCTGCGCAATCTCCGCCCACTCCGCACCGTTTATCCTTGACGACACGAAGGACTACACTCTTGAGTATCCTCACCTCAGCTGCTAATCTTTCAAAAGACATTTCCTACCTCATGGTCAGTTTCGTGAGCCGACTCCTGCAGTGGAGAAAAAAATAAACAGAAGCAATTTTCAGCTCATGCATGTGCCGCTCGCTCGAGCTTGCCCTGGATGTAGCGTATATCCAGGGCAATCCCCAAGTGAATTCAAGCAGAAAATGCTAACAGAGACCCACCGTATACATGCAATATGACTCTTTCAACGCTTATTGTTTGACAAAGTTTCCATAGACTTAGGTAACTACGCCAACCCGAAGTCACCACATCATCCAAACACGTAACACCACTAAACATCTCAAGTTCTCTGATCTCTTGTCCCTGCTTGCTCCAAAATGATTTATTTCACGCAGTTTGTCTAATGTACATCTCCTATGTCCACTTGTGCTCATATCCGTTTGCATCGACCGCATGCTCAAAGATCCGCAGGAATTCTGATTAAAGTTTTTGAAATTGGGCAACTTCGCTTCATTGCCCTAGAAAGAAATTGTGACCGATCCTAAATGCCTAATATTTCAACCGCAGTCATACTCACTGCCTTTTAGCAGACCTTTTTGACACTTTTATTTTGGACCCCCGACATAGACACGTTTGTCTTACTACCTCGTTTGAATAGAGACAATGAACCAAGCCGCGCCCTTAAGGAACCATGAACATTCTCGATCCAGACCTGCCATAATTTATCATGATTTGTTGGGTGATCCAAACTAAAGTGCTAACCCTACTAGACAGCCGGGATGTTTACCATTCACTTTCACCATATCGCTGCTGCTTTCCAAACGAACGTGTTACATACGTTTGCAGCGTCAATCTAATCCGCTAAATTTGTGCCAGGACTTCAAAGTACTGGCTAATCCTTTGTGCTTTCTGTCCGCAAACGCAGTATTTCTTCCAAGGGCACTACCAGTTGGTCAATATACTGGTAGAAATACAACTTTGCCGTGCATCCTGTATGTTGAGGATCATGAAAAACTTACTGGTCATGACGGATTTCTCAGCTGTTTCTGACACACTCCTGCTAAAACAACAGAGATCTTTCCCCATGCAAGTCGTAAATGGCTGCGCAATTTTGAGATTGTGAGGATAAATGTTGCTTAATTATTGTTCGTTTAGTCTCAATATTATTTCCGAATATAGCAACAATTGGTTCGTTTCCCTACTCATGGAGAGCACGAAGTGCGGTACGTTCGAAATCGGTTTCGTTTTTCCCTCGTGCAAATTTTTGAAAGAATTTTTTCGTGGTTCATTCTATTCGCAAAGTACGCACGAGTAATTGTTGAATTTTATTACTCTAACAAAACATTTGAGAGATAACCCTTGATATTTTGTGCAAACCTTTTTTACATCTAGTCCTAAACATGACATCAATTTATACCGATTGCCCTCTGCAGCCATTGATAGACCACAAAAGATGTGGGCGAAATGGCTGCCCATTGAACGTCAAACGCGGTATGCAATGCCACACCTGCAAGGCCTGATGGCACTTCAAATGGCCTGGGTTTAAAGACGACCAGATAAGCCGACTAGCTAACTCTCCTGACGCGCTTGTCTGCGATAGCTGCCTCAAGGTTAAGGGTGCAATGCACACCGCGGCCATGAGGAGAGCCCTCCTAAACGGTACCCAATCCCCATTGCGGCTTCAGAGAGACCAATGTCAGTGTTCCGCCTTGATCGGGATACTCGACGTAAAACTGGAGCGTCTTTCTGGGGCACTGGAGGATTCAGACACTAAAAATGCAGAGACTTGGACGAAAGTTGACAAGGAACTTGCTTCGCTGAACGAGTACCCCGCGATATCAATACCGGGTCCTCTGGCTGCAAAGAAAGTAATACAACCCTCTGACGCGGCTATGAAAACTGCCACAGCTTCTCTAGTGGACAGGCGCCTAAGGGAAAACAGATTGATAATCTGGAGGTCATTATCCGGAAAAATCACGCCGTCTCATTGACACCTGTCATTCCGCTTCTCCTCCGCGACTTGCCTCCACCAGAGTCTGTATGCTGTTTGCTTGTTCGAATTGACTGAGCTGTCCTTACTGGCCTTGCTTTTCCCTGACCAAAAAGTGGTTGCTGGAGTATTTAATAATGCACAAACGGCACTAATGACTGCTTGGATGGTTTTCCACCTTGCAGATCTGGTGGCATGCACGTGTGGTGGACGAGTACGCCCTGCAGGGAGGGTCGCCCTGTTACGTTACACCATGGTGCGTTCGTATACCCGACACCCCACCAGTGGCACGGGTGCATCGTCCATCACCGGTGGTTCTGAGTCTGGCCTCTAAATTCGGAAAATCAAAAATGTACTGCTGACTTCTGTTTTTTGCTGCTGGTGTTGAGCTCGTCTCGGCTGAGTTATGCACCTGGCAATGCCATGAACCACAGATGGAAAAACTGGCCTCTAATCTGTGAAAAACAATAGAAAAATTGAAAGTTCACTTGGGATAGCCCCAAGATACTCTGCAAGTGCCCGTGGCTTACGTCGGCGAGCACAGCTTTATCTGCCTTCGTCAGAACAGAGACTACACTGAGCCAAAGCCCATTTCGTCATCCAAACGGAGAATACATCTACTCGCCGTTCTCGGTAGTAGACACAAAATTCTTCATCTCTACGCACCATCTACAAATTAGAGCTGATGGCAGTGCTTTTAGGGTCAGTGACTATTTCTCTTGCACACACTTTCTCTTTTGGTATAGCCCAACTCGTGTAATAAACATCAGATTAGCCAGTTATCTTAGAAGTCCACTCCGGCCAGCTCTTATGCATCTGATTCCCATACCACGCTTCTACGCGCTTATATTGGTATTTACCAGATCCCTTGTAATATAATATCGTATGTTAGCAAACCCAGCCCTTGGTCGCTAGCCTGCTAAGTACAAATCTATCTATCTCCTACTCCATATAATCACTTGTCACTACACTAATTGCAGCAGACGCCAAGAGTTTCTTTCTGTGTATACTAATGAATATTATCCCGATATATATCCTCTCATACTCACCATGTTTTGCGAATCTCCTCCCATCTCCTCATCGTCCCAAGCTCTGAACTTCGGAAGTGCCCGTTTTGGACGACCTGGCTAGCCGATATCCACTCCATCTGGCCTATGATCTACAACTCTGAGACCACCAAGCGGACCAAGAAAACCTACAATCCCATATCGGCTTTGTTCCAGCTTGTTTCCTCGGCCAGGGTGAAATGAATATTGTTGCCCAATGATCTGCACGCTCCAGCCGAATCATCTCAAATGTGACGTCCGTCACGGGGCTGTCCAAAAACTGAAGCATGTCAGGCCACTGATGGCACGGCACTGCCATACTCAGTTTGGTAGCATACCCGCAACTGTTCCATTCCTCCTCCCAAACGAGCCTTCTTGCCTACTCGTTCCACTGACTGCAAAAACGACAAACTCCCCAACGGACACCAAATGCCTCCAGGAAATTCATTGCAACCTATTGGTCTACTCGTACGGATTCAACCACCTCTGTGTCCCCATCCAAACTAACCCCTGCAGCTAACTTCACTAAAGCAGTACAAACAGTGAGTCTGCTTGTTCTCAGATTGCACCATATTTTTTAGACTAAACTTGTCATTCTATGCTGAAAAGCCGAGAAGCACTGCACAGCTGTTTCATTTTTATTGGGAATCATCAGCAGTGCGCATCTCACGGAACTCCGGAGAGTCTCGAACCCGCGACCTCCTGGCTAGTAGGTTGAACACTTAACCGTTCGGCCACGGGCGGCTGATCAGCAGTGTGGTTAACTAGCATTTAGACGGGATATAGCGCCGCTCATCCTTCACTCACGGGATCCACATCACGCGGTCACACGTGTTGACTGGATCCTCGGGCAACGACTACTTAACGACTTCTCCACAAACTCCCCAAGCTCCTCACACCACCAACAATTTATAAGTAGCTCAGTGGAAGAATAGACCCGATTAGTTAAACTTCCTCTGATAAATCGTTGCTCGAGGAGCCAGTCAATATATGTAACCGCGTGATGTGGATCCCGTGATTCAAGGATGAGCGGCGCTATATCCTGTCTAAGTGCGAGTTCGGTATCTTCGAGTGACGCGTAATACCAGAGACCCGGGTAGGCAAAACAAAGTCGGAGCTGGGTTTCTATACGGTGCTATTAGGGTAAGAGAAATTCATAGATTACACAAACCTCGACAGTAGATACACGTCTAAAACGAACAGACCGCTTGGACTACAAAAGTACTAAGCAAGGGAGAAAACGGGCTCCCTCGTGCGACAGTCACAAGTGCAAAGTCAGGTACAAATGGCCAGATGACCCCAAGGCCAAATGGGTGAGGTGGTAAGGTCAAACAAACGTCAGTTCATATATACACACCAAACACAAAAGTGGGAGGGGGTTAGAAATGGGGACATAATAAACGTGGGGAATTTCATTGTCAACATAATAGGTGATACACCAAGTGCGAGTTAATCACACTGCTGATCAGCCGCCCGTGGCCGAACGGTTAAGTGTTCAAACTACTAGCTAGGAGGTCGCGGGTTCGAGACTCTCCGAAGTTTCGTGAGAAGCGCACTGCTGACGATTCCCAATAAGGATGAAAAAGGTGTACAGTGCTTCTCGGCTTTCCAGCATAGATTACCTTCACTTACAGGACGAAATGTCCACAAAACTTCTAAATCTCCTCACACTACCAACTTAATTTGCCATGTCCCCCCAATTCGAATTAATCTCCACCTCCACTTTTGTCCGTTGTTACTCTGGCCGTTTACCCAACCGCTCAAGGTCACTCATGGCCAGCAATGATTTTCAGTTTTAGTTCATGCCAGCCGGCCGAGTCTTTTAGTTAGTAGGACCTTATGCCCATTGTCCCCTACAAGTTTCGAAGGGGACCTGTTATTTTTATTTCATCGAATACTTCTCACCGTTTATGACAATGTTCTCCTTTCGCGGACTCCTCACTACCCGCAAATCCCACAGCCATGCCCCATTCTGACTGTAAACGCCTGATCATGTCAGGCGGTATGCCACCCACAAGTTGGGAATAAACATTATTATTATTATTATTACAATAAATCCTTAGCAATGTCCCCACCAAGCCTGACCAATCACTACACGCAGAATGGTTGCGCCAGAAGGGAAGCAAGCATACTGTTGGACCTCTAGTCACTTTCTTCCCCATCTAACGTACAGAAGATCTTGGAGCGGGCTGACAGCATTCAGAAGGCCAACCCAATGATCAGGCGTCTATCTGAGGATCGCCCTCTGGTTGCGCGGAAGCTTGGTCACAGCAGGTCAGGGGTGGAGGCACAAAACAGGCTTCCGCTGGGCACCAATTCAGCCAACCGTAAACTCATGACCAAGCTGATTGTGGTCATATCCCATTGTGCTCCCGGAAGCAGGCCGACGAAACCAGCTGCGTCTCCGGACTGCAGTCTTTATTCGACCACCACAGGCCTCTCGCCCACCAAAGGCAGTGATGCCCTGGAGAAGGCAAATCTCACGTCCAAGCAGCGCCCAAACTACGTCGAGCCTTCAGCGCTTATCTCCGTAGGAGACTACACAGCCACAGGCATGCACTCCTCAACAAAGCCACAGCCTATGAACTGGACTGATTCAGATCTGCGGGGACAAGCAGCGAAGCCAAGCCCCAACTCCACTCCGTCAAAACCGGCCTCTCCGCTTATGGACGAAACCGTCACCCAGGACCCCGACAACCAAAGACATAAACATAACTACACCCATCCGGAAACTCCCTCGTACATCCAGTTGGCCACGCTGATCGCCGGCGGATCGGGTGTCCACACAAACACAAAAGAACAGCGATTGCAGGCAAACAAGCCACATAAAATTCGCCGGGTTAGAAAACTGCTGGCTAGCTTCAAGGTGCAGTTCGCCGCGAAAACGAGCCTCTTAAGGCACCACCAATATCATTACTTCTTATGCCGCCCCCCAGCGCTCAGGGCTTCACAGAGGCACTTTTCCGGTCAAACCGTGCCAAACCACCCAAGACTTCAGGAAGGCGAAAGCTTGCCGCAAATCTTTCACAGAGGCACCCGGTCAAACCGTGCCAAACCACCCAAGACTTCAGGAAGGCGAAAGCTTGCCGCAAATCTTTGATCAACAGAAAATATGGATGGTAAAAAGGGGATACTGAAAGAGCTATAAACACCGTCGGTCGAAATTTTCGCCCACGGGAATAAAGCACTGTCCCCCAAAGACAAAAGGCCTGAAGAAACCGGGCTCCCGCGGAACGAAAAATACCTCGTAAGCGAAAAGCACCCGCAGAAACCACGAAGACAGGAAACAGACGACATCGCACCAGAGGCCTCTTCGAAGCCTTGCACTCAAACCCGGCGCACAATTATTAAATCTGCTAATCACTCAACTTTCGGCTCCTCACTCTCGGAAGCAGCAGAGACGGTTTTGAAATGATTGTCCACAAACCGCCTCGGCCAACTCAACAAACTCAGTGATCTTAAACAGTTAGTTTACCTTGAACAACCGTTCATAATCGCACTCAAAGAGACCTGGCTCACACCAGATGTCTCTGATGCGGAGACATCGATAGACGGTTGCTCAATTTTTCGAGCCGACTAAAAACGAGGGAGGACATGTGGGGTTACTCTGTATTTACATGCGGCCCTACCGGTCCCGATTACCCTCTCTGACACAATCCCTGCACTCTTTTGTGATGCACTGTAGTGGCAAATCCCGCTGCGCGGGTCCAATCCTCTTCTTCTCGGTGTGGTTTATCGTAGAACCTCGAGTCCCCATGAAGATTACCACTTCGTCATACAAAACCTTGAGCAACGCTGCTCCAACTACCACTTTACTCATCTGCTGGTA